AGGTATAGGTATTCCCGAAGCTCGACCGACAGGCTGCTTCCACATCCGCTCTTCGACCCCTCCAGCTTCAGCGGTCTTGCGGAGTCTCGGCTGGGCTTCCAACCTCCAAGCGCCCACGCCTTCTTAAGGAAGCTAATGTAAGCTCCCGATAGGGATCTGTTGAAAAATGCTCGGGTTTCCATATGATTATGGTATATTAAGCCTAGTCCTAAACTGTAAGGCCTGGGTTTAGAGTATAGGCCTCAATTTTGGATGTTAGATTGTAGTGGCTAAACCCTACTACCCTAAACTCTAAACCCTAAACCCCATAATGACAGCCTTCCGACAACCCCCCCCAGGATCTTCACTTCATCGGCCGGCGTGAGGCGGGTTTCTGCAGTACAGCTTGGTTTAGTTTTAAGGGCTCTGAGGTTTAGTGTTGGGTTTAGGGAGTTTAGGGTTTTGGGCTTTAGGGTTTAGGGGGTTTTTAGGGTCTAGGGAGTTTAGTGTTTTGGGTGTTTAGGGTTTACGGCTCAAGGCTCTGGGGGTTCAAGAGTTCAGATGTTTTTCGTTTTGGGGTTTAGGGTTTATAGGGATTAGGGTTTGGGGTGGTGTGGGGTTTAGGGGACCAGCTTATTTTGGGTCTGGGAGTTTGGGGGTTTTGCTTCCAGTGTGTTAGAAGTGTGAGTTCGCAATGATGCTTCTGGATCCAAGAACCCTGAGGAGGACAGTCCAACCTGCACCCTTCAAAATTGCCGTCGGCCTCACAGACTCCAATGTCTCGAGCTTCTTGAGACGCTGCTTCCGCTTCTGCTACTGCCCTGCAGAATCCGGATACAATTTTATGTGCAGCATACTGCAGCATGTGTGCTCGCAACTTTGCATGGACTTTGGATGTGAGCACACTGCAAGGCACACACATGGGTATCGTCACATAGTGAAAGGTCACACAACCATCCATGTCCTCTCCGTACATTCCCTGGATATTTGTAGATTCAATGCTGCAAGGGCTCCAGCCATCCCAAACTGAGGCATCTGTTGTAGCAAAACGTCCCTCATCTACGCCCGCGCGCTCAATTGTCTGCTAGTGCGTACTGACGCCGGACACTCCAGCATTTCCTTCCCTCTGTAACTCCCTAGACTTAGACTCCAGACTCCCCCAGTCCAAACTTAGTCAACGTCCGAAGTTTCATTCAATCCATGCACACGGCAGCCGAAGCAGAGCATGAATGGCAGGGGTACTATGGCGGCACTCGGCTGCTGATGGCCACCTGCAAGCGATTTCAGGACGTTGCTGCCTGTTGCTACTTGCCTCGCCATTCCAACACTGTTGAAATCATTGTCTCGAGTAATTATGGGCGCCTCGGCTTGAAGATATACGACTTCAACAAGGAGCACTATTTGCTGTTGTAGCAACCATAGCTACAACCAGCAGGGAACTGTGATCATCCAACTAGCCTTACTGTTCCCTTGCATTGCGTTTTGCAGCTGTGCTTGTGCTTCACGGTGTAGGAAGTGACTTGGGTACACGGACCTCTGAGTTTATGGGAATGTGGTGTTTGTGGTTTAGCGTAGTGTAGTGTAGGGGTTTAGCGTGTAAGAGTCTACCTGTTCAGGGTTTGAGGCATCTTGCGGGATGATTGGAAGGAGTTGGAAGCTTTGACCATGTCGGTCTGTCTGTGGGGATGTGGATGAGGTTAGGAATCGTGACTTCGTGCTTGCCTTCGTTGTGGCCGAAACCTTTTGGAGCTTGAATTTTACGGTCTTTGTGCCTCAATGCCTTTCATGTCGGATTTTGTTCGGTGGAAGGTTTTCAGGGCCATGGCTCCAGAAAACAGGAGCTCTGCACCAGCCGTGGTATTGCTCTGCCAAGCAAAAACTTCACCTTGCGCTACGATACGCCACTGGGCATGCAGAATACAGAGAGTCCAAGGCCCAGTGCTACGGTTGATGATACAAATCCTGTATTACCTTAAGGGCCCTAAACTATGGGAATTATGGTATATTTCTTATTATGGGTAATGCAGGATTTATATCATCAACCGTAGGTCAATAGCTGTTCGAACATATTGAAAGTAGGGTTTTCAATGCAGATAGTTTGCGCAATGCTGTGGTGGTGGCGACGCTGAACGAGCATGATGTTGTCTGCCGCTGCCGCGATCGTGCTTGTGTCTCTGTCTAGTGGGATCATGGTCATAAGGTCGGTGTCGGTCCTGCTCATGGCTGATCCGGTGATGACGATGATGGTAGCTGGTATAGGGTGAGGAGAATGATGATACATGATGTCTCCGATGATGATGATGATGATGATGATGCCGGCGAGCATCGTGAGTGTGGAGGTGTTGCTGACAAGGCTGTTACTGCCGATATCTGCCGATGGTTCAACTGTCTTGGACCTCGGTTGATGAAGGTCGAGATTGCCTCAACTTGCAACAGCACTGAACATTGCAATGTGCTTGAACTCACACTGCACCACACCTGCAAGTTCCCAACCGCTGCAAACCCAACAGTCGAAGCTTTAAGTACCACTGTCAAGGTACGGTCATTATCATTACTGCATTTATACTCTTGACACGCAATGCTCTCAATACCAAAACCGCAAAATCCATGCCCCAAAACCATGCTCAGCTCCGGGTCCTTGGATTTCCTACTTTGCACGAGTACGCTTGCTCAAGGTTCAGGTTCGAGTTTTGCGGGGTTCACCGGTTCACTTTGGGCTTTGGGCATGGAGGCCTCTCTGATTGCAAGATGCTTCAGGGTTTGGGGCCGTATGGCTGTAGGGCTTCGGTGCTTTTCTTTCGGATGCTGGGGTTTAAGATTTCGGGCTTGGGTTTCGAAATTTGGTTTGTGTTTAGGATGCAGACTTGACGTTTTTTTGTGTTTTTAGAACATACATTCGTTTATCGAGGGTGAGGGCATAAGAGTTACGCAAGTGTTGACATCCTAAGCTAAAGTTTAGGGTTTGAGGCGTTTGTGGCAAACCCAACGGTCCATGATCTACAACAGTTGTTGCTTTGGCCTTGAAAGGGTGTCCATGCAGGTGTGCTAAGTCTAAAGTGTACTGCATGGCTACACGGACCTTAGGGTAAGGGGTTTAGGTTTTCGTGGCTTAAGTTTTCCGCCACGAGGAGTTTCAGAAAATAAATAAAAAGAAGGAGCCGCACCCGAAGACCTTCCACCTGGAGCTCTGATAGCCCTCATCAGCCTAAGCCCCATCCGCCCCGATTCAGAGACCCCCAAACCTCTGAGATCAAGGACGAACCCCTGAATCAGACGAAGCCTACCGAGAGAACCCAACTCGTAGTCCTTATTTCAGAAACCCCAAAACATCATCAAAGCCGCTAGCACAACCTTCACACCACAAAGCTTGAAATCAAGCCCTTAAAGTGTATCAGGGGGTATGTGGGGTACCCTCTGACTCAAACCCTGAGACCATAAAACCCTAAACCCTTAAAAGCCCCTCAGCCCTGAACCCCGAACCGTTATGTGGGTGGTTCCCTAAATGAGGGTCCCTTTTTAGATACAGTACGGCACCCTTAGAAAAGTACCATTAAAACTAAGGGAGTCCCTAAACCCTCAATCCCTACACTCCTAAACCCCTAAGCCCTACACCCCTAAACCCCTAAACCCCTGAACCCCTAAACCACCAAACCCCTAAACCCTCAAACCCTTAAACCCTCAAACCCCAAAAGGAACATTCCGCGGCAAGTGGGTACCGGCCCCATTCTTCCCAGGGGCGTAGGGCGGCAGCGTTGCTCCAGGGGCTCGTGGTCAATGTTCCCAGACCTTCCAAAATCCCTTAATTAAGGAATATACCTTAAATTATAATAGGATCCCTCTTATTGAATTAAGGTATATTCCTTAATTAAGGGATTTTGGAAGGTCTGGGTTTGGGCTTCCTTACCCACATGGGGTTTAGGGGTTTAGGGTTAGGTTTAGAATTTAGGGTTTAGGGGTTTAGGGCTAGGTTTAGAATTTGGGGTTTAGGGGTTTAGGGCTAGGTTTAGAATTTAGGGTTTAGGGGTTTTGGGTTAGGTTTGGAATTTAGGGTTTAGGGGGTTTAGGGTTAGGGTTTAGTTTGGGCTTGGTTTAGAATTTAGGGTTTAGGGGGTTTAGGGTTAGGGTTTAGAGTGTAGGGTTTAGAGGTTTGGGGTTAGGGTATAGGGTTAGGGTTCAGGGTTAGGGTTTAGGGTTAGGATTTAGGGTTAGGGTTTAGGGTTAGGGTTTAGGGTTAGGGTTTATAGGGTGTAAGGTTTAGCGTTTGGGGGTTTGGGGGAAACAGGGTTTTGGGGTTTTGAAGTTCAGAGGTTTAGGGGGTAGGTTTAGGGTTTCGGGGAAGTCGAAGTGGGGTTTAGCGTTTAGGGTTAATCTGATGTTTAATTGCTGGTTCGGTTTTGGGTTTAGGGGTATAGGGTTTAGGGGTTTAGGGTTTACGGAGAACATCCAAAAATCCCTCAGTAACAATCTGGAACCCCAAAAACCCTGCAGCCCCACACCGTCGTCCGTTGCTGGATCCGCTCGCACGGACAGCCATTGGGCTCAAAGGCATGTTTTGCCTTTGCGTTTGAACCCCAAAAATTGAAACCTCAAGCACCCAAAGAATCCGAGCCCTGAGCCAAACCAAACTCCAAGCCTAAAAAATAAAACAGAGTCCCCAAAGCCATAAGTCTACATGAAACCTTGCATCCCGCAGATAAACTCTGAACTCTAAGCCCCTAGCCCCTAGACCGCCCGAGTGTCGTAACCGAGAACCCAGCCTCAACCCGAAGCGCCTCTGAGCTGAGTTTGAAATCTCAAGCCGTATCCCAAGACTGAAGGAAGCCCTGAAACAATCTTACCCTGTCCTGAAGGACCAAATGATCCTTAAAAGTAGGCGTCCTATACCCATATACTATGAATTCCTATATGTTATATGAACCTTAAACCCTTTTAGGGCTCGTTTCGTCCTTGAGGGGTTAAGATACCACAAGCCCAACCCGTCGCAGAACACCTTCTTCAGCATCCTGACCTCTTGGTAGAACATGGTGCCTGGGCTTCGGCTTTCCTTTCTGACTCTTCTGACGTTTCGGGCGCTGAGGGCGGAGGAGCTCAGAAGCCAGAAAACTGCGTTTTACAGTTTGCAGTTCATGTAGTTTCGGGGCCTAAATACTTACCGATACTTTTTTTGGGGGGGGTTCCTTATTATAGTCATTGTCTAAGGGGCCCCAGAACCCCTTTCAAACTACTAAGGCCCCTACATTTTGAGGCACTGCGGTGGGTTTGAGGTCGAAGGTCTTGGCATTGAGGGGTTCAGCTCAGGACTTATATGGGTAGTTGTCAATATTAGGATCCCTTTGTGGGTACCCTAAGCATTAGATGCCATATTATATTATATTAGGGACCCAAAACGGGACCCTAATATTGACAACCACCCATTTCGGCCTTAATAAGGACCCCTAGGTATATACCCTTAATATAGCTATTATATACCCATTCTATAGCCCATTATAGGGGTTCGCGCTCTCGGGAGGCTGGTTGGGGTTCCGGGTGTTTGTTTTGCACCGAACCGCCACAAAACCTCAAGCCTGAACACCGACCCAAATACAGTACCCTAGATAGTAGGATCCTTAGTATGAGGACCCCAAACAAGGTACCCCTAATTTTCGGAAACTCCCATATTGTGTAACCCCAGTAAGCAACTGTTTAGGTAATTGGAGCCTCACGGAGAAGCATGGGCCCTAACCCAGCTTCCAGGGGTCCCAAAGGCATACTTCCTTAACTGGGCCTTAGTAATTCCTTATTATGGGCATTAAGGCCCCCTACACACCTCCCCCAAAGGCTCCATGCACCCATATAGTAGGTACTTAGGCCTTAAAGTACCGTTTTCTATAGGAACACCTTAGGGCCTAAGTACCAACTACAATATGGAGCATTTTGGGGGGTCGCAAAGCAGGATGCCACCTTCACAAAGCGCTTCTCCAGGGAGGCATCAATCAAAGCTGAAGGGCCTTCAGGGGTTTTATAGAAGGAGTGTTGGATTGTTGGGTGGTTTTGTCCTTTAGTTTGGGGTTTAGGTTATAGGGTGTTGTGTGTTTGTGTTTTAGGGCTTTTCAGGCTGATGACAATGCCTTTAGACTTTAGAGCCTGAAACACAAAGGCAAAAAACCTTTCATAAACCACTGGACCCTAAAACTCTACTTAAAGGATCATGGGACTAAGTAAGTAGAGCTTATAGTTACTTTATTACTAGTCTCATGATCCTGTAGGTGAGCCGCTAGACCCTAAAACCCGATGAGCTTCGGAGCCCTTACCACCCACGAATCTCCACATCTAATTGCATGAGTTTCAAGTCAGGGGTTCATTTTGGGGGAGTTGAAGGGGGGGGTAAGTACCAGTCAGATAATGATAGATATGAGGTTCCTTTCTCTAGCCTGCACATCAACCCTAAACCCTAAACCCCTAAACCCTAAACCGTGCACATCAACCCATGAGTGTTTCGTTTCCTTGCTGGTTGGAACGAACCGACTCTAAGTCTACAAGGGCCTAGAGTAGGCCCTTATTCCCTTTTTTAGGGTTCAGGTTCCCTTATAAGCCCCTTTAAACCAAAAAGGGCACCCTTTTTATTCCTAGGTTACTCTTGGGTCTAGTCTAAGTGAGCAACCTGACACCCCTTTCCCAAGGCCCCTGAACCCTTAACCCAAAGGCCCCTTTATCGCTAAAGTCCCAAATCCTAAACCCACACTTCAGAATTCAGGGTTCCCGGATTTATTCTCAAAGCTATGATTGAGGTAGAAAAAATTGCTAAACTATTCCGTAGCGTTTTTTTGTTCTACTGGCAGTAGAATATACCCCCAAAGCCCAATCAAATTAATCTGCAGTGTTTTTATGGCAGTATCATATACCACGAAAGCGCTGCTCTGTTTGTTAAGGCCCGTGCATTAGACCGGTTGTTCCTTGAGGCTACACGCTTGCGTGTGGATTTGCTGCAGAACTATGACAAGGTGCGTTTAGGGGTTCGGGTTTCGGGTTTATTTCGAGTTTGGAGACGGGATACGTCATGATGACAATCTTGGCTTATTATTTGAGCTTAAGAGTTCGGTGTTTTGTGTTTAGGGCTTCCGGGATCTTTACCGTGACTATCGTGGTTGGCTTTCTTGCATTACATGGGCTCCTTTAGTTACCGAGATACAGGGTCTTACTGGCTGTATGGGTAGTTCTCTAGATCAGGGCCCCCTTCCAGGTCCCAAAAACAGTACGGGACCCTTACAAATGAAGGACCCTACACGGGACGCTAATTCAGAGAACGGCTCATGTAATGTAGGTCTGCACTGAAGAGTCCTTTTGTGCCCACTGACTGTAAGTAAGGCTCGGTCTTTCAAGTCTTTGTTGAGGGCATGGTGAGTTTGCTGAACCCTAAACCCTAAACCGCGGGTCCTTCGGTGTAGGACTTTGGGTTTGGTTTTTCGGTGTTCATCAAGGCATTGTGTTAAACATGTTTCGGTTTGGGGTTAGACATGCAATCCATTTACACCCCTGGATGGTTCCTTATCAAGTTACCCAACACCAAAAAGGGAGCCCTTTTCATTCCTAGGTTACTGGGCATATTAGGGGTGTTAACGGTTTTGCGTTGAGGGCCAATACCAGATGAAGGCTGATATGAACCAGTGATGGGGGGGTCTTCTCTCTGGGTCCTTTGGCCCTAAACCCCTAACCCCCTACCTGGACCCCCAAAGTATGTAGAACCATAGCCTTTTTATAGGTTTTGGGCCATTATTTTACCTAACTTTTGGGGTCTAGGTAAACCCTAAACCGCGTAAACCCTATAAACCCTAGACCATATCCTGGGAGACTAAACCTTGAGCCGTTGCATCGGAGATCCCGCGACTACCAACAGCAAGCATGCTCAGGGCTTCAGGGATTGCCGTGGTTGCCAGAAAGTCAGAAACTCATTGCGTCCATGCGCTGGGAAGCAAGCGAGAGGGATTTCCTGCACTTCTGATCCTATTTCCGGTTTCGAGCTCCTTGGGTTTACTGTAGATGCGAAGAGAGTCCAACCCTGAAGCCCTAGCTTTATTAGTTCCTATGTCACGCAGAGGCTTAACAACCCCAACAGTAGCATCAATGACCGCCCAGGATCCAAACATATCTGTGAATGCTAAACCCTTCAACCTTAAAGCCCTCAACCCTGAAGCCCTGAACCCAAAACCATAAACCCTAAACCTTGAAACCCTACCTGGACCCCAAAAGTATGTAGAATAATGGCCTTGTGTAGGTTTTGGGCCATTATGTTACCTACTTTTGGGGGTCTAGGCAGGGTTTAGGTTTCAAGTTTCAGGGTTTATGGTATAGGGTTTAGGGCTTCAGAGTTGAGGACCTATAAAAGGCTATTATTCTACATATTTTTGGGGTCCAGGTAAAACCCTAAAGCCCCAAAGTCCTTTAGGAATCCAAAAACTTAGGTTATTTGGGATCCAGGTAAACCCTAAAGCCCTAAAGCATCCCGAAACAGCCGGATCAGGTTGTTCCTCCAGAGAGCGATCGCCGCTTAGCGGCCCTCAGTCGGTTTTGTCGGTTTCGGCTTCGGGGAAGAGAGAGAGAGAGAGAGAGAGAGAGAGAGAGAGAGAGAGAGAGAATCGCACACGAACTGAGAGAAAGAGAGAGATAGAGAGAAGAGGGAGAGGGCCGTGTCGATAACCTCGTGAGCTTGTCCAGCACCCTCCTAGACATCGAAGTCGGGCATTTCGTCTCTTGACTTGGCAAAACGATTTAGGGTCTACCCTCAGGCTCCTGGACCCTTGGAATGAGTTCCCAAACCCCGAGCCCAGCCCCAGCAAGGCCCAACGACCTTGTTTGTATCCGTAGGGTGGGGTTTGGGGCTGATTCCCGTAACCTACCCTAAATGTCTGTGTACCTATGGTGTATACCAGTCCCCATGTAGGTGCTTTACGGCCCCAGCACGTGCTATGTAGGCTTCTGTAGGTGCATGGACCCTTGCGGCTACTCTCTGAGGATTCTGGTATAATGCCGGGCTCTGGCCCTTGTCTGTGGTACTTGGAGGATCATGGGACTTAGTAAGTAAGGTTATAAGTACCTTAATTGGGGTTATAAGTAGTTATAAGTATAGTTACCCGAATTATAGCCCTAGTTACTAAGTCCCATGATCCTTTAAGCATGAGTCTGCCTTGCAATCCCTGAGAATCCCCGCGCCTGAGACCCCTTAACCCGGCAACCCGAAGACCCTCAGCGGGAAACCCCTATAGCCCCAAAGCCTACGTAAGTCCTACTGTGTATGATATAAATCCTGCATGACCCTAAGGACCCTAGACTATGGGAATCATGGTATAGCAATTATTATGAGTCATGCAGGATTTATATCATAGCTCCTAGATAGCCCTAAACGCCGCGAGGATGTGAGCCGGTGTGCTCGCGGCCTTGCCTTACCTTTGGTTAGTAGGGAATGGAAGAATGGTAGTAATACCTGGACCCCAAAAGTATGTAGAATAAAAGCTTTGTTTTGTTTTTTATAGTTTTTGGGCCATTATTCTACCTACTTTGGGGGGTCTAGGTAGTAGTTATAATCGTACCCCATTCCTCCATTCCCCACTAGCCAAAGGTAAGTATTGCTCCAGGCTTGGAAAACTACAGCGGCGCTGGGACCGATGTTGCTATGCAAATCAACTTCTTCAAGGCCCCCCTTTCAGCTGTGAGTGCTGTCTGGGGATTCCCAAAATCTACTTAATTAGGGAGACTCCTCTATACTTGGAGGGGACTTAGTAAGTCGTTTATAAGAAGGGTTATAATTGGGGTAACTCCATTTAGGGCACTTATAATTCTACTTATATCCTACTTACTAAGTCCCCTGCCCCTCCAAGTAGTTGAGGGCCTACAATTTTGATGCTTTGCGGTGTTTGAGATCAGATTTTGAGCTTCAGGTTTAGCAGTGGGTTTAGGGTGGGGGCTTTAGAGTTCTAGGGTTATGGAAAGTGGATTGTTGCCTTTGAAAAATTTGGGGTTCTAGGGTTTAGGGTATGGGCCGGGCTCTTGGGTTTCGGGTTCTTTTTCATAACCGGCCCGCATACCCATATAGTATAGGGACTATACTCAGGCCCAAATATATACTAACTGCATGAGTACGTGGTTTCTTCGGGTTAGTTGCAGAACCTAGGGTGTCACCTTCATTCTTCGGGCAACCGGTTCCATTAGGCTTGCACTATGGTTTTAGGATTTTTATGCACGCGCTCTACTCCCCAAACCTAACGCTCTGAAGTCTAAGACCTTCAACTCTGAAGCTCCCAACCTTGAGCTTCAGGGTTTGGGGGTTTAGGGTTTAGAGTTTGGAGGTTTAGGGTTTTGGTGTTTTAGCTTCAAGGGTTTTTGGTTTGGGTTTCGGACGGTTTAAACTTTGGGGGATGTGGGTTTAGGGTCTAGGGCTTTAGGGTGTCGGGTTTAGGGCCTACCAAAAATGCTGTCCCTACGGACCCCAAGGCCTTCAGCCCTAAATCTCTGAAAAGCGCGCCTGCTCGACTTAAGCCGCAGATCTCAACAGGGCCCCAACGCATAAACGAACATGCTGAGAACCGCAAACCCCAAACCCTAAACCCTAAAAAGCCTTAAGCCTAGGTCCTAAACCCCAAGCTCGCCCTAAACAGTAAACACCTGAAGCCCACGACTCACTCATAGGAGGTCAAAAGGGGTTTTAGCCTATGGGGGTTTAGTAGGGATTAGGGTTCCCATAATAGGGTTCATATTAAGGAATCCTTACCCCAAGAATCTTAAACCCACCCTTTTTGGCTAAACCCTAAACCCTAAACCCTAAACCCTAAACCCAGTTCCCATCACTCACGCGTTCAGAAAGGTGCAAGGAGTTGATGCATCGACGGGTCAGATGCGCCTCAAGGCTCACACCTCTTCTTTAGGGTTTAGGGTTTAGGGAAATGGGTGGTTGTCAAAACTACGGTTGATGATATAAACCCTGCATTACCCATGATAAGGAATACACCATAATTCCCATAGCTTAGGGTCCGGTCCTTAAGGTAATGCAGGATTTATATCATCAACCGTGGGGTCCCCTTTTGAGTCCCGATCATAGTACGGCACCTAATATTTAGGGTACCCAAAAAGGGACCATAATTTTGACAACTACTCAAATGTTTGGGGTTTAGGGCTTGGGAACCACGGCTTAGCCTATGCTTCCAAGGACCTTATAGTTAGGGCCCCAGACCTCGTCAGGACCCAATATATACTAAGGTCTCTGGAAGCCTAGGGTTAGTGATTCGAATTTAGAGTTTAGGGTTGCGGATAAGGGTTTGTGGTCGACGATTTGGGGGTTTAGGGCAGCGGAGGATTAGGCTTCATGTCTTTAGGGTAATTTTTGGTGGCCTAAAGGGTTCCTCATTATAATCATAGTATAATGGGCTCCAAAACCCAATTCTAATTATTAAGGCCCCTGTATTATGCATCCTTCCGTGTAGCTTCGTGGTTATTGGACGTTGGTGTTTGTACACTTTCGGTGTTGCAGTGCAGGGGCGTTACAGTTCGAGTAAAGGCAGCAAAATACAAGCTTCAGAATTCAGAATTTAGGTTTAAGGCTTCATCGAATCAGCACCAATACCAACTACTGGCAAAGGCCCCACGGTGGTGATCGTGTTTTTACTTTGATGATGTGAGGATAGTCATCAGAGGGACACGAGCAACAGCGACTTCTCATTTCAAGAAGGGATAACCGTAGATCAGTAATGCAGCCTGCAATATTTGATGGCGATGTCCAGATCAGCAATAACAGCAGTATCCGCACCACGGCACTGTTCCCAACAACGGATCTTGCAGTAGGTGCAAGAGCAGGGATAGATGATTCCGGGCAGCAGCGGCAGCAACGGCAGCAACGGCAGCAGCGGCAGCGTAGTCTAGTAGTAGTAGTAGTCGTCGTCGTCGTAGTAGTAGTAGTAGCAGCATGTCTTGATGTTCTTGTTGTAGTGGTAATAGAAGTACTTGGCAGGAGCAGGAGTTTGCATAATGACACCATTCATGTACCATGCAGCACGGACCAGTAAAGCATGCACACCATGACGAATGAGGCTGGTCACCAATCCCGTCCCGATCCGCGAGAACGCTTAAGATCACAATGCCTGGTTAGATTCCAGCAATAGCTAATTAGCACGATGTCAGTTATCGAAAGGGCAGCAACACCAAACAAGCACAGGATCAACACCTTCAAAATCAATGACAGTGTCGGACAAAAACCGACCGTGCGGGTAGATTAGAAGAAGCCACATCGAACGAAGGTCTGGGTTCGTATGGGCTGGATTGATCAGCGCCTGAGCTGGGACCCGGCAGAGTACGGCAACATCAGCCAGGCACTGCAATTCCTGTGTCTTCAACTATATCTGTTGGCCTAGGACCTAGGGTTTTGAAGTTCAGGCTCCACACGTCAACAAGGGTTGATGTTAGGACAAGGATGCTGAACCAATGATTCTTGCGACCGAGGTTCGCGACTCGGCGCTTGGTAAGTATGCGGGATCCAGTAGCCATGTCTCTCGGCAGGCTATTGACATGAGTCAACTCGCAATGAATTTCGGGCGGAGACGCGAAACCAATGCGCGCCCGCGCAATCCGAATCCCTGCGAAGCCTAACACGAAACCCTAACCCCGAAAACCAAATTCATCCAAATTCCTGGACCCTGAAAACCTAACCAATAACCGAGTCGAAAACCCCAAAGCACATAATGACCTCGACTGCTTTAACTCCCCAAACCCAACACGCCAACAACTCGTAGTTTCAAGCCTGCGAGTCCCAAAACCCGAACGGTGGGGTTGTAGGTACGAACAGCGACCCTTTAGGGCCCCCAAAATTGAATGACCTACGGTTGATGATAGAAATCCTGCATTACCCATAATAAGAAATATACCATAATTCCCATACTTCAGGGTCCTTAAGGTAATGCAGGATTTATATCATCAACCGTAGTTTAGGGGTTGAGGGTTAGGGTGTAGGGTTTGAAGCCCTATGCAATCCAATGAGAACCTACGAAACTCCACAAGGAACCCTTCAAGGAAAGCGTTGCCAGGTTCATTTCCTGAGCCGGCACAACACCGACAGGGAGCCTTTGTGGTTTTATTTTTGTTCTCTCCGTCTTCTTGGCGTGTAGGCGTAACAAGGTCTAGGAAGTTCTTACAGTACTTTTTTTTAACGGGGTAAGATACGGGTTGTATACGGGATTGCGATTTCTGTTCCTCGAGCCCGTTTTAGGCTTGGGGCCTCTTGGGATTTAGGTGGGACGGTCCACGGGAGGTTCACGGGTAGTTATAGGCGGACTGAGTCCCCTACTATGGGCTATGATTACGATTACCCTACTTACAAAAGTACCCATAAACCTTATGTAAGGTGAGCTGACATCCTCCACTCAACACCATACATGACCCTAAGCCGTATAAATTAAGGGCTAGACTGGGCTGTTTGGATCCCTCGCGTCGGAGAGGAGAACTCCGAAATCTGGCTGCCGGATGTTCAGCTGTGGAACGCGCCTTGGAGCAGTTTTGGTTCGCCCAAGGGACTCAACACAATTTGTTTCTGTTCAATTTTAGTGCACAGGGAAGGACCCTCTGGTACTGCCAGGTGTGTTGGAAGATGTGTTGGCTCCTTACCCGGGTTCTATTGTAAAAGATTCACCTGAACACGAAACACAGGTTTGTTTGGGTCATTGAGGGTTGGTTCCGGGGTCTCAACTGCCACCTCAGACTCCTAAATCCAGTTAACACGACAACGTCAGAATGACGCACCAAAGCCTGACCCCCTAAACGCCTGAAGCCCTCATATAAGAACCTGATTAAGAACCCCTGGGTCTTTGTTAGGGTTCTTCATATGAATCCTAATAATTTGGGGCCAAGGTTTCTCATTCAGGTTCCTACATTACACCCGCAAGCCCTAAACTCCCAAACCTCTATCAACCCCAAAGTAGCATGGGCCCGAAAACTCAAGCCCTATACTCCTGGTCGGTGTTATAAAGCCCTAAACCCTCCTCATTATAGAGCCCTTATAGATCCCTTTTTAGGAGCCCTTTATAAGGAACCCGAGCTACTAAGTCCCATGATTCTTTAAGTAGGGGCCCGAAAGCATGAGCCAGCCTCCACAGGCCAATGTTGGCACCGAGCTCTCACTCGACACCACCAACGTCTCCTGACTTTTTGGGCGATTGGGGCTGGGCTCCGGTTGAGGCTTCAGGGTTTAGGGTTTAGGGTTTAGGGTTTAGGGTTTGTTTTGGGAGTGAAGGGTTTGGGGGCTGAGGGTTTTGGCTGCCGGGTTTAGGGTTTAGGGTTCAGGCTGTTTTGAAGGTGTGCTAGGGGTGTGATGGTGTTTACAGTAGAGACAGTAGAGCCGGCTATGGATCAGGGGATACTGAGTAATGAAGGGGTTTGTAACGGTATACACAGTCACAGCACGCAGTCTGTATTACTTAGAGATATACAGTGCTTCTGAAGCACCCGGATCGTTCAAGTATGCCACCCTGGACCCTACACAACCTAACCTATTTAAGGACTGATATACGGAAATGAGAAATGATAACAAAGAGCCTTGGAGGAGCCTGTAAAGGAACCCTTCCAGGAGCCCTTAAAGGAACCTTTAACCCTAAAACGGTACCCTTATTGGCTCCTTTAGGGGATACTATAAGGCCACTATAGGGCTCCTTTATAGGGCTCTTTTAAGGGATCCTGTAAGGGCTCCTTTAAGGGTTCCTTTTAAGGGATCTTAAGGGGTTCCTTTAAGGGCTCCTTTAGGGGATCCCGTAATGCCTAAGTTCTGTAATTATCACAATCTCAGCAGTGGGGAGCAAAGTATGTGTTGGAGCTGGAGATGGTTATGTCATGTTGAGGGCAAACCCGTTGAAAGAGCTGAACTTTGTAGTTTGGACTGGTGACGAAGTCTGTGATGAGGGACAGCAACAGGTTAGATTTTGGAAGTTTTTGTGTGTTGGTTGCAGGAAACGGCGCTGCTTTTGTCACCAGCTGACAGAACTATAGGTTTTGTAGCGCGAACCCTTCTTTGAACGAGTGTCGCCTTTGAAGCCCTGCAGCACCCTTCGATTCAACACCTAGAATTACCTGTGCACAGCCTACAACGGTCCGATGCAGGAAGAATCGTGAGTGAGGCCTTCCAGCTACTATAGGAGCCTTACTAATTACCTACACTATTGTGGCGGTTCCTCATTATAGTTATAGTATAATGGGCCCCAAAACCGTATTCTAGTCATTAAGGCCCCTATACTAAATCCTTATAGTATGCATTATAATATCCTTTGAACAAACCCTATTCTAACCATTAAGGCCGAACTGAGGCCCTATAAAATCTTAAAATCCCACCCAGGCCGTTGTTCAGAGTTCTGGAAGCGTCTTCTGGAGCCGGCCAGGTTTGCTAGACACGCGCCCTGGCTTCTCTTGGGGTGGAAGGGGATAAAGATCAGAGTTTCGACCGAATCAATATTACTTCCTAGTTGACGTTGACCCTTAACTCTAAGCCCTAATTCCTAAACCTAAACCCTAAATCCTAAACCCTATCATAGCTGAGACGTCTGCTTGGCGGAAAAGGGAGCTTTAAAAAAAACCCTATCATAGCCTACTCCCTGGTAGCAGATTGCACTGTTGCGCTCATTCTATCCTCAAAGGGGCCGTTGGCTCTCCAGAGTTCTGGTCTGGGGCCGGAAGTCTAGCCCTAATCGTCCATATGTGGCCTGAAAGTAGACCATTTAGGGACTTTGTGCCCAAAGTATATACTATTTGGGTACATGGACCCTTAAACCCTAAACCCTAAACCCTGATGGTACTCTTATAGAACCCTTATGGCACCCTTAAAGGAGCCCTATTTAGGTACATGGACCCTTAGGACTAAGAAGATGATGTCAAGGCTTTAGGACCACGGTGTGGAACCTCGAACTTCTGAACTTCTGTAAAGGAAGTGCCTTCGGTTCTCGCGATATATATATATATATATATATCAAATAGTGTAATATGTATATTTATGTATATATAATGTATATGTATCAATGTATATGCATGTATATGTCAATCATGCATATACATACATATATATATATATATATGTATGTATGTATGTATGTATGTATGTATGTATGTATATATATATATATATATATATATACATACACAAATGTCATGTAGATACCCTGTGTGTGTATGTATGTATATATATATATATACATACAGGCACATATTCACAAGCACATGTTTGTATCTACGAATACAGCGCAAACATATGGCACATATGTATGTTTACATACACACACATATATAGATATATGTACATACATACATACACGCTTAAATATGTGTTGACAAGCACGGCTTGTGTATCACTAGTTCTAGGTCGGCCGACATGGTGCATAAGGTTATCCGGCACACAAGCGAATATAGCTAGGTGGTATTTTCGGTAAACAAATAGCTACCTGTTTTTGTCACGGTTGCATCCTTCTCCCTGTTGCCATCATCATAATGGGAACCAACCCTGATATTCTAAGCACGGATCTGGCCCTGAATCCTCCATGTTCCACGATAAAGCGCTTCGAAAGCCAAGGCTTTGCAAATACTCTGGCCACCCTAGATCCCTAAACCCCTCGCCCCTATCCGGGCCCTAATCCCTAATCCCTTAATGTTTAGGGGTTAAAGTTTCAGGTCCCCAAATCCCTAAGCCCCTAAGCTCCGTGAGGCTTTGCAAGTTTTCGGGTTCCTTAATATACGGTTATTGTATAATGTACCTAGTATAATGTACCCCCAAACCCTATTTTACTTATTAAGGCCCCTATACTAAGCTCCGTGAGGCTTTGCAAGTTTCCCCGATTATAAAAAACCCTAAGCCCCTAAACCCCCTAAGCCCCCTGAGGCTTTGCAAGTTCTCATACCCTATACCCTAAACCCTAAACCCCCTCAAAGCCCCAAGGGTTTAAGGTTCCCTGAATCCTAAACCCTAAATCCCAAAGCTCCCTGAGGCTTTGCAAGTTCTCTGGCTTAGTTGCCTTTCCCTTCGACCGCCTGAAATGCTCGATGGAATTTCGGCCCCATGGGTTTGGGGGCTTCGGGTTCCTTTAAAGGGAATCCTATGAGGGCTTCTCCTTTAAGGGATCTATGGGGTTCTAGGGTTTAGGGGATCCTACAAAGGGTTCCTTTAAGGGATCCTTTACGGGATCTAAGGGGTCCTTTAAGGGCTCCTAAGGGGATCCTATGAGGGCTCCTTTGAGGTATCTATAGGGTTTTACGGTTAAGGGGTTCCCGTAAAGGGATCTTAAGGGGTTCCTTTGAGGGATCCTTTAACGGGGACTTTAATTCGAGCTACGGAGGTTCCGATGAGGGTTCCTTTAAAGGGAGCTATAAAGCTTCCTATAAGGGTTCTTGAAAAGGGGATCGTAAAGGGTAGGGTCTAGGGTTTTCGGCTATTTTAAACGGACTTTCGGGATCAATATCAGGGTTCTTCCTGGGGTTTTAGGATTTTAGGGTCTAGGGTGAAGGGAGCCATCAAAGGGATCTTCTTATGGGGGTTCTTTCACGCGTGTGTTAATGGTTTTTCTCCGGGTTTGGGATCAAGGGTTTCAGATTCTGTTGAAGTCTTTAATAAGCAAACCTCAACGTCATGTTAGCCCTTGAAGAAGGCCTCAAACGTCCCTTAAAGGACCCCCTACAGAACCCTTAAAGGAGCCCTTTTTAGAAACCACAAAAGGGCCCCTTAAAAGGACTAATTACACGAATCCTTGCAGGCCCCTCCCGTAGAGGAAGCCGGATCTCCTATCAAAGCAGCCAGGGCTTAGGGTTTAGGGTGATACTTGGAGGATCATGGGACTTAGTAAGAAAGGTTTTAAGTACCTTAACCCCAATTATAAGTAGTTATAAGTTAAAAGTATAGTTGCCCGAATTATAACCGTAGTTACTAAGTCCCATGATCCTTTTTAGTAGAATCCTTAGAGACCCCTTTGAGGGATCCTTGAAGGGATCTTAAGGGCTCCATGAGCACTTATAAAGCCCGTATAGATTCTTTAAGGACCCCTGATACTTAAAGATCATGGGACTTAGTAGCTGGGGTAATAATTAGGGTTACTTATAGCTTATAACCACTTATAACCCCAATTAAGGTACTTATAACCTTACTTACTAAGTCCCATGATCCTCCAAGTAGAACCTTACAGGAATTCAAAGAAGAAGCCCGAAGCGAAGCCCGATCGCTGTAGTACTCTGATGGATCCCTTTTACGGATAGATCCCTCCTCCCTTAAGCCTTAAGCCTATAGCCCCAAGCCTAAAACCTTGAACCCTAACATACAGGAGTCCTAAACCCCTGCACCCCAAGAAACCCTGAACCCTAAACCCTAACTTACAGGAATCCAATGGCGAAGCCCCACAACGAAGCCGAGGAAGTAGGAACATGGGTTTAAGAGGATTAGTGCTTGAATCCCTTACACTAAACCTTTGGGGCATGAGGATAACAACGTTCCAACTTTCTGGCTTCTACTATAGGAACATGGGTTTAGGAGGATTAGTGCATGGGCCTCTTATACTTTGCCTTCCAGGAACACCCCCCCAACGGCCCTTTAATAAAGCCCTCATGATCCTCAAAAGTGGGTATTTGGGGCATAATTGAGGATAGTTGGGGGGTCTAGGTTAAGAGCATGAGGATAATGATGTTCACAGCCCCTTAAAGCCCAACTTAAAGCCCCCTTTAAGCCTCCGTAAAGCCCCCTTTGATTCAAGCCTTCCGTGTAAAGCCTCTTCAAAGGCCAATTACCGTTTTTCGCTTCTACTATAACTTCTTGTTACTTGTGGATCCCTTTAGAGGAACCCCTATGTGATGTTCCCTTTTTGACTTCTACCCCTAAACCGCTGAATCCTATAAGTACCAACAGCGAAGCGGAGGAGTGGGGTGGCTGGACCTTCTCTGGCGGCTTCCAAGGGATCGAGCTCATGGGCCAAGGGAGCTTTGGCAAAAGACGGGCTTATAGGAATTAAGGGTTTGGGGTATGGGGGTTTAGGGTTTCGGGTTTAAGGGTTTGGTGTTTAGGGTACAGGGGTTTAAGGGTTTGGAGTCGACCAAGACCCCCCATGGCCCGGCAATGGAGCCCTTGTGGCCCTTAATAGTGGGTATTCAGGGTACATTGGGGGGCAATTGGGGAGTCTAAGTCGGGTTTAGGAGTTTGGGGTTCAGAGGTTAGAAGTTTGGAAGTTTCAGGGGTCTGGGATTTCGGGGCTTAGGGCTTAGGAGGTAAGGGTTGTGGGGATCAGGATGGAGTGTTCATGATGTAGGTGTTATATGATCGGTTTATCTCGTTTTATAGGCGTTTGAGAAGAATCCCTAAGGGTTCTCACAAAATCATAGCAGTTTATTCAATTGGGCTTCGGTTTTGTGGCTTTGGGGATGGGGGTTTTACGTTCAGGGTAAAGGGCAGGGTATTTTGGGGGCGTAGTATTTGGGCTCTGATAATTAGAATCCCAAAATAGCATTGGTAATTTTATTCCCTTAGGACCCAGAGTAGGCCCTTATTCCCTTTTTTTAGGGTTCAGGTTCCCCTATAAACCCCTTTAAACCAAAAAGGGCACCCTTTTTATTCCTAGGTTACTCTTAGGTCTAGTCCCCTAACTGCTCTCTAGCATGAACCACCTCTCCGAGCGTTCGGGGCTTAGTGTTTAGCTAGGATGCCCAGTAGTGCCCTTATTCCCTTTTGTAGTCCTAGGTTCCTGATAAAGTTACCCAATACCAAAAAGAGAGGCCTTTTTATTCTTAGGTTACCGGGTATCCTAGTTAGATGCTGTGGGCCTGGGCATCGGGTCTCGGGGTGAGGCTTTCCGCTGAACCCGTGGGCTTTGCTGTTTCGGCCGGTATCTGGTTGGCCATGGGACTTAGTAGGTCAGCTTATCAGCTGGAAGTGCCTGGTTGCGGGTAGAAGTAGTTATTGGTATAGTTACCCCACGAGCAACCCTACACTTACTTAGTCCCATGGTTCCGTAAGTAGGAGGGGAGTGAGGGTGAGGCTGACGGAGTATGATTCTGGCATGAGGCTTCAGGGTGTGCTGTTCGTTTAACATGAAAGCTGGTTGAGCGTTTAGAGCTTGGGTTTTTGGGGCATAGGCCTAGGGGTTTGGGGCTTGGGGTGTACAGCAGGGGTTAGGGCTTATAGGTTGGGGGCATCGCCTGTGCATAGGGGTCAGGCTGGTAGGATTTAGACGTGTGGGCTCGTGTCGATTCCTTGGTCAAAGGGGAAAAGGAGGGACCCCTACCCTATAATGGCTATATAATGGGTATATAATAGCTATATTCAGGGTATATACCTATAGGGGTCCTTATTAAGGGTCCTTCCTTTTACCCTTGGACTTGGGGGTCTTCAACTGGAAGCTCCTAAAGACGGAGACCGAGGTATGCAGAATCCACCACGGAGGACACAGCGGGGTCGTCATACCAGGAATACAGCATCGAGGTCGGGGTTCAGGGTTTAGGGCCGTTTAGGGTTTACAGCTGAAGGGCTTAGGGTATGGCAGAAACCAAAATCGTAACTTGAGGTTGAACTACTACAGGGGCTGCAATAAGAAATACCAACAGGATTCCTTGGGGGCATCTGTGTTTAAGGACGGTACAAATTTTATATGGCCCGAAACTTGTTGAAAATGGTTAATGGTCCCCATATAATACCCAAACTATCTATGTGAGGGATACTTACCCGAACCAGAACAGTAGTTCCTGCTATAAAAACCTCACAATCTACTCCCCTGATCAGTTCTTCACTCGGGTATTTAGGTCCCCTACACGCCCTCCTCCTTACCCCACTAAAGCATCCCTTAAAAGAACCCCTTAAGATCCCTTAAAGGGACCCCTTAAAATCCATAAAGGGTTCCCTAAAGGAGCCCCTTAAGATCCCTTAGAGGGACCCCTGGAAATCCTTAATTAATGGATCCCTTAAAGGAACCGCTTAAGATCCCTTAAGGGCCCTTATGGTAGATGCCAAACCAAGAGCCCTAATGCACTTCACGGTCGAATATGTAGCAATCGTGTCCCCTTATCAACCTTCATATACTTATAGTATAATGATGACGCAACAATTCCGATTCCCATCATGCAGGCCTTCATATGTACATGTACCCTAAGCCCGAAAACCTAATTCGTATACACCCTAAATCCTAAACCCTAAACCCTCAGCTCTAAACCTCACACCCTAAATCCCTAAACCCCCCAAACCCCTAAGTTAACCCTAAACCCATATGAGTCCTCTTGGTAATACTCGCTCTAAACCCCACACCCTAAATCGCTAAACCCCCAAACCCCTAAGTTAACCCTAAACCCATATGAGTCCTCTTGGTAATACTTGCTCTAAACCCCACACCCTAAATCCTAAACCCTAGAGCCGGGATCCCAAGCCTCACGACATGCGTCGGCCGAATTTCGAATGCTGGTTCTTGGTCTTTGTCGGGCTAAAGGGAACTGCAGAAAGTTGGAATATGGATTAATGGTAGGATCCCCTATAATTTACCTTAAAGGGGTTACGATAATGATATTCCAACTTTCTGGCTTCTACTGTAGCGGTTTAGGGCCTAGGTGTTTAGGAGTGTTTAAGGTTTGGGGTTTAGGGGTTTAGGGTGTGCAGGGTTTGCGCTCTGAGGCTTCGGGTTTAGGGTGCGAGGATTTCGGGATTTTTTTTACGGGCAGCTCTCCTGCAAAGGGCCTCACGCCAAAATGCCCGAGCTCAATCCCCGAACCCGAAACTGCATCTGAGTGATGTTCAGGCCTGAAAATGGAATAGAAGCTGAACATTAAAGGTTATGTAGTGCCCCCATAAAGTAAGAGTCTATAGTAGGGCTACTATTAAGGTCCTGATGTATCTATATTACTGATATTATTCAACTATTACTGAGTGGGGGTCGTACCCAAATTAAAGGTTTCAGACCTCGCAAACTATACACAGTGAGCTACCAAATCCCCCAAAGGCTCCATGTACCCATATGTGAGGTACTTAGGCCTTGAAGTACCTACATAGGGACCCTTTCTGGGTACCCAATTAGGGACCATAATTTTGACAACTACCCATATGGGCACATGGAGTCTTATAGGGTCCGCAACCCTGAAGCTTCATCCTGGAACCCTTTTCCCGAAACCCTGTAATTTAAAGGAACCCCTAAACCCTAAACCCTAAAAAGGGAACCCCTAAACCCTAAACCCCTTGATTAGGGTTTACAGACCGCGGCCCTTCTAGAAAGGAACTTCTTGAAGTTGCTCTCCGGAGACCCCCATACCCCTTAACTATGCAACATTCCGGGTATCTTGTTTTAGGGCTTGTGATTGTGGTTCTAGGAGTTGCATTGATTAAGAGTGTTTCGGGGCATATTCTGTTTCCATGGGCTATAATACGGGAATGCACCGGAAGAATAGACGGTTTAGGATTGGGGGCTCAGATAAGGGTGTGGAGTTTGAGGTTCAAGCATGCGTGTTGCGAAGACTTTAGACTTTGGATCTTAGAATTAGTTCGCGACGTGGGACTAAAGGTTCTGCGGTTTGGGTTCAGGATTTTGGGATTGAGCTTTTCGGGCTGACGTCTGCCGCGCGTGTGTGTTTGATTTGATGTGGTGTGCTGGTTTATGCTTCTTCGGTTTAGCAGGTTTTCCTCTCGGAATGATTTGGTTTCGTGGGGCTGGATTTCCAGGCTGAGATGTCTGTTTTGTTTTGTTGTTCTGTTGGGTTTGTTTGCGTGTTGTTCCTTCGGGTGTTGCTCTTCTTGGCGTTGTCGCGACGGTTGTCTGACCTTGAACGCTAGCCATATTTGTACGGACAGGGTAAACATATGTAAACTGGCTGTTTCGAACCCTACAATCTCACTTGAAGTTGTTACGACTGTTGGGCAAAACTCGCTGCAGGATGGGTAACCACCGGCACAAGAGTACTGATACTATGTTGAAGGTTCCTATATATATATATATGTGTATAGATATAGAGAGAGTATAATGGGCCCCAAAGCTCTAGTCTAGACTGAATACCAAGATGACCGAGCCGCCCAGGATCCTGGGATGGAGTACATGCTGCTACCGTGCCTGCTATTGTCATTGCAAATGCCGTTGCTAGTATTAGCTGTTCTGTCATTCAGGTGCATTTTTCAGTGTGGGCAGCTCGAACGCAACCGATATTACTATTGCTGCCGATCTTTCACATTCGCAAACCAAGCTAGCAGAACTAAGTGGTTCGTTACCAGGCTAGGCTTGCCTCGAAGTCCTCCGTAACTTCGGCGCCCATATGGCAGATATCGTATTCAACAAATGCTAGTGCTACTTGTGTTCCCGATGCTGGTAGCGAGCTTACCATACCGAACACTACCAGTGCTACTGACACCCTGGTACCACGGGAAGTTGACATGTATGTTTTACCTCATGTATGAGGATTATTGGTATTTCTTTGTTCCCTCATGTACTCCACCAGTACCAACAAGAACACATGTCGTTAGTAGGAGTACTGCCAATCGTATCACTGGTCGTCTTAATCCTGTTAGCGGTCTTGCAAGCAGCTCATACCTTATATTTTGCTATATTTTGCTGATGCGACCAGCAGCTGTTTCTTGCATAGCGTCGTGCAGTCGCTATGGATCAATACTTGGCGATTCACATTCTTCGACAGCTATCACGTAGATCTTGCTGCAGCCTTCACATACTGCTACGACGCATCTCACGATCCTGTTGTGGGTTCTGCTGCTGTTATTGCAACTGCCAGGCATGGCAGATGGATGTGTTGCATGGGATACCGATGAATATCCGGGCCATGTGCCGGGAACCTGCGTCTAAATCTGCCGTGCTTGATAATTAAAGCGTGAAACTAACGGCGTGCAAATATGAGGTGTTGTATGTTTAGTTTAGCTTTGGGGGTGCATGAAAAGCGCTTGCCAAGGCATTCCATACGTGACTGTGAGCAGGCGATCCGCATCGAGAAGAGGACCAACTTCTATCCAAACTTCCCCAGCGAACCTTGGACGCTGGTGAAGTACAGCATCACCCTGAGCCGAGCCAGCTTTTACTACTGGCTGCTTGGAATGGTGAAGAGGCAAATGTTCTCCCCAACTTCCTACAACTACTTGCGTTGTAATGCTACGTTCTGAAGTTCAAGAACACCCACCGAGTCTGTATCCGTTTCTCTGTTTTGCCTCTACTTCAGCAATGTCAGTCCCAAGCGGTTTGAAAACCTTCAGCCAGTACTAACCCAAGTGCAGCATTTGGCCGGACTGATCATCGACATTGAACAAGTTGACCCTTTAGGTTGCAGATCCGGATGTTCGGTGGTGGGTTCAAGATGATGTTGGGAAGGTTTTGTCTGGCAACCACAACAGACCTGTTGAGCTCAAGGTTGCTGATCATCTTTCCGACCGTGCTCATCACCTACCTCTCCTTTGGCGTGTTCTTCATGTCGCACGAGGCAGGGGCAGCACTTGACCGCTAGGTAGTGTTTCAGGCGCTCCAAAGCAGAACCGAAGCTCGACAGACAGCCTTTTCAAGCATTGTGGACTGGGGTTCACAATCCAACAAAAGAGTTCCACACTCTCATAGGGATCTAGACAGATTCATTCACCTAAGCCCGAGACTGCTTCCAATAGAAAATTACACTGTAACCCATCAAATTTACGTTTATAAGGTGTCTTTTATGCGGACCATAAACAGAAATCCTAAGCACCTGTCAAAGACCGTCCTACATGTAAACCGTACGCCCCAAACCCCACGCACAGGGAAACTCCAAAATCCATTGTTACGATGACACATAGGGTCATCCCGTCACTTGCGGCGGGGGTCCTGAGTAGGGGGTTTGCCGGCAAAGTACCGTCAGATGGGTCCATGAAATCAGAAGTACCGCATTTTGGTTTGCAGCGCTGAACCTCCCAGAAAAATCCGACACGACAAACACTTTGTCAAACACGTTAAACACGAATATAGTAGTCTTAATTTCACAAACCATAGTTGCAAAACAGTAACATCCTTCCTGTAAATGCTTCGTGTTGTCCACCTAGGCTCAAGAACGGTGGGGGGGAGGCTACGGCACCTGGTACATGTGGGGTGAGTGGAATTAACACGAAGGGTGGGAAACCTCTGACCCAGGGTCCGAACTTTTTCTTGTGTTTACATTTCCCGGATCTTCCACCACTACCTTCCAGCATAGCCCAAGTACTTACCAACAAGAACCATAGTGGTTTGGTTCAATGTTAATTGGCTCCTGGAAAACTTCAACTCTAAAGCTCGCTGTAGCACCACCCTGATAGGAACCTCTTAACACCCTACAACAACCCAAAACCTTAAACCCGAAGCCTTAAACCCCTAGAAGCTCTGAACCGGAAAGCCCCTAAACACCCAAGAACGACTCTGGCCTTGTTGAATTCGGTCTTCCGGGAGTTCTCGACCTGCTAGGTCGGTGAGCGCCTGTCCTTCGGGATCACTTTGCTCCTCGTCGTGGAGGTGCGCCCGTGGGCCCCTTCTTTGGGGACAAATCAGGGGCCCTGATATGGGAGCTTCCGAAAATCGGGGGCCCTAGTCTAGTATCCCAATGTAGGATCCTTATTGTAAGGACCCCAAAATACGGTCTCCCTAATTTTGAGAAACTCCCATATGGATCTCAGATTGCAAGGTCACGCTTCAGGGTTCGGCCTAAACTAGGCCCCACACCCTAACTAAACTCCCCTACTATAGGGGCCTTGTAATAATTGCCTGTACTATTCTGGGCCTTCCTTAAACTAAACATTGCAGCATAATTTAATGGGCCCCAAACCCTAAACAAACTCCCCTACTAGTTTAGGTTTGATGTTTTTGTTTGGATTTGGCAGGGTTGGGGGCCCTGCCTGGCATTCGGGTTTGGTGTGTAGGATGAGTGATATTCCCTCAACACCGTTTGACGGTAAGTCACCTTAGCCCTGTGCTTCGTCGCCTTTTTCGCCATCTGAATGGTTGCTATGAGACAAGTAGGTCCCAAGGCAGTGCCGATGTTTCCTTGCTGGATCTACTAAGAACTTACTACACCCTAAATCCTTGAATCCTAAACCTTAAACCCAGGGCACAAAACATAGAATTCTAGAGAATCCTTGGCTTCAAGGGATCACCGGCGGGGAACCTCTGCTTTCCCAAATCTAAACTTTGCCCAAAGCTCTAAGAAACCAAACCCTCGGCCTTAAACCCAAAGACTCATTGGCATTACGTTATGCCCGGTGGGAGCCGCGCTGGCAGACGCACAAAGCGACCGTCACCCCACCTTAGCAGAAAAATCAAAGACTCCTGGGTTCAAGGTTTGGGGTTGAATTAGGGTTTAGCGGCATCTTAAGGAATCATGTTCATGTGCGAAAGCTGATGTGCTCGGCTGGAGGCTTGCACTACGAAGCTTGTCGTCGGCTTAGAAAACACAACTCGGCGCACTGTAGCTTTGCTTAGGCAAAAGTACGTCCCCAGTTATAGCTTCAGTCTCCAGAAGCACCTGCTTGCGATGTCTGCGGAGCCCCCAGCGCCAGGTGATGAAGGGAACTGTTGCGACGTTCGTTCCTGCACCTCTGGCCGAATTCAGCATGGCCTGGCTATCTATCGCATGAGCAATCCTTACGGTGGCAAGGATGATGGTGATCACATCAGTCATGATGGTGATGGTGATGGTGGTGGTCATTTTTGCAACGGTGCTTCTACAAAGTTTTCCGCTTGTGATTCTGGTGTGCAAAATCGAATCGCCTCCATTTAGGCGCTCGAGCCCTCAGGGTTGTTGCTGGCAGACAGGTGTCAGTTTGGCTGCGCGAGACCCTGAACCCAGCCCTAAAGCCCGGAACCCTGCAAAGCCCTTGAATGACAACTCAAAAACTAGAACCAGCTTAACCCTATGCCTAAGCCCTCAACCACAAGACATCCACGGAGGAGCATTGGTTCGTTCATATTTCGTGCATTCTGATGGGCATGTTATATATACCACACAGGTTCCTGCATCAACTCAGATTCCTGCATCATATGATGGGGTCAAGGATGAAGCGACTAGGGTAGGGGATCCTATGTCCTAGGGTCAGGTTTTCGGGTTGTTGGATGGAGGGAGTCTGACTGATGGCGTTTACTTGCAGGATCATGGGACTTGGTAAGTAGGGTTATAAGTACCTTACTTGGGGTTATAAGTAGTTATAAGTATAGTTATCCTAATTATAACCCTAGTTACATCTAGTTACTAAGTCCCATGTTCATTTAAGTAGGGTTAGGTTTTGGATACGGGGTCTTGGGTTCAAGTTTTGGATCTCCAGAGGAGATCTGGGCTTCGGGAAGCACGTACTCCTGCAGGAACACATGGGAGTTTCCGAAAACTAGGGGAAGCTTATTTTGGGGTCCTTATAAGAAGGATCCTACTATTTAGGGTACTGTATCAGGGTCCCCTTTTTTGGGAAACTCCCAAATAATTACCCTTGGATTGAATCAAACACTTGGTTGCTGATGGGTCGTTTTGAAGAGTATGTATACAAATGCTTCATTGCGGTTAGTCACAACTGTGGTTACCTCAGCCCGTTGGCACTGAACCCACGTACTAATCAAAAACCATAAACCCGAAGCTCGAAGCTCCCTAAACTCTAAGCCGTAAACCCTAAATTCCTCAAGCCCTAAACCCTGAAACCCCAATGAAACCTTACACCCTTAAACCCTAATCCCCTAAACCCTAAAGCCCTCATTAAACCCTAAGCCCCAGCCCCTAGTCCCCTCATCCCAGGTCTGCGGTGAGCTGCTTTGGAAACCCGGCTTTCTCTAGCTGCCTGAAAATCCTAAGCCGACAACCCTTAAGCCTTACTCTCAAAAGTCTAGACCCGTGAATCTCGAATCCCCGATAATGAAAAGAATTACAGAACCTCTATAGAGCCATTCCGCCACCATTCCAACCCCCTTCTCCTCCCCAGCCCTGATTCCCAATTGTCGGTTCTGTGTCGAGTTTCCTTGGCCCTTCAAGTGCAATCCAGCTAGAGCGTACACACCCCGCTTCAGGCAGTGTTCAGGGTAGTGTAGGTACTGTTGCTTGTCGTGACAGGAACAGTTCATAACAGTATTTCAAGCCCCTTAACCCAAAAGGCCTGAACCTAAAGCCCTAAACCCTATATAACCCCTATATCGCGCACCCCCGCTTCCTGCAACGAGCATACTGCAACGAAGATGCTGCAGCCGCTCTGACCTCATAGGTCCTGTCAGGACATCTCGGGCTCTGACCTCTAACTTACTAGATCAAAACCCACTTTTGCAACCTTCGTGGGGCTTTGAGAAGGTAGTCTTGTTGTGGAACCATGGATGTTCGGGAAGTAAGTAGTTCAAGTTACCATTATAGATGCCTGTATTATTTAGTCAGGTTTCCTTACTATGATAACTTCAACTGCCTCCCTTGACAAGGACCCAGCAAGCTCAAACACCATTTACCAGTTCACTTCATCCTCTCAAAGAAAAGTCCGACTTCCTCTGCCCTGAAGCTCGGACCTTCAAGTTTTGAGGATCGACCTCTTCATGCTGATTAACACGATCTTCTGCAGCTGGGCCAGCAGCTGTCGGACTTCTAAAGCTTCCTGCTAGTCTACTACTACTACTACTACTACTACTACTACTACTACTACTACTACTACCACTACTACCACCACTACTATTACTAGGAGTTCTAGGCGTGCTTTGGGTTTTAGGGTGTAGGGTAGTGCCCTGAAGGAACCGAGCCAGTGACTAACGACCGGAGTCTGTAGGATCGTTAGCCCGAGAGTTCATGACGGATCATGACTTTAGTGCTTAAGGAGTTATCATTGGAGGTTTGGTTTGGGATTCTGATTCTGGATGAAAAGCTTGCAGTTTTTGGTTTAGGAAGGCCTCCCAAACAAACTGAACTTCTCTAAACCCTGAACCCCTAAACCCTGAATCTCAATAAAACTGTAAGCTGACACTGCTATCAAGGTTGCCTCAGTCTGATCGAAACGATGGCCGTGCTCTTCTTCGCTTTCCACATGGATGACCGCCTCTTGGGAATCTGGGGCCTAAGCCCTCAATCGCTAAACTCACTGCTTTTCTGGCTCAATCGGTCCGATAAAACGAAGACCATAGGACACTACATAGTTGTACTCACCATATGAGCATCAGTCCGTATAACCCTAAATCCCCAAACCCTAATAATGTCCCTGAACCTTAAACTATTAGTTATCAAGCGTGATGCCCTTGTCTGTACAGTCAGGTACATCACGTGAAAACGCTCATTTCTGGAGATTAGACCCTGAACCTTCCCAGTTTAAGAGCCAGGGTTTAGGGTGTAGGGTTACCTAAACCCTAAACCGTTTAGGGTCTACCAGGACCCGTATAAAACCTTCATTTTTAGGGCTCCCTTTTATGATAGCCCTCTACAAGTCCTTAGCAAGGTAGGCCAGTCGGGGTCCAGGTGGGCTGTAAACAAAACCCTAAACCCCAAACTCCAAAGCCCTAAACCCTCAACCCCTAAACTACTTACCTGCACCCCAAAAGTATGTAGAATAATAGCCTTTTAGAGGGCTTGGGCCATTATTTTACCTACTTTGGGGGGTCTACCTACAGGCTTTAGACCCAAACCTGCCGCAGGATCACTTCCTGCCCGCCTGGCTCGCCTGGCTCGCTCCCTGGTGCCTTTGCCGGCCCGCCTCTTCGACTACATTATGTTTAAGATGACTATAACTGTTCGTCGTGTTTTTTGTTATTTACTATTATGTTGCTACTTTCGGTGGTTTTTTGATTAACAACATTAATAGTAATCTTGATAAGATGATTGATTTTACCACTACTGTTAGTATGTTTATATATGGTTATGACGTTTATCTTACTGTTATAGTGTTGCGTTATTGCTATCTCTGTGAGAGTTTCAGAAGAGCCCGGGTCCCTTTTTGGGTTGGGGCATCTGCAAGTGGGGATCGGAATATAGGTGGTTGTCTAAATTAGGGTCTCTTTTTGGGTACCCTAAATAATGGGTGCCGTATTATAATAGTGAACCAAAAAGCCCATAAGGGTAGGGTCCCTTTTTGGGTCCTCAATATACTACGGCCTCTATTATTTAATCCCAAAAAGAGACCCTAATTTTGACAACCACCTATATGCAGGGCATGTGGTTTGATTTGTGCTGGTCGGTCGGTCGGTCGATGTGTGTTTGGGTGTGTATGTGTGTTACGAGGTTGGTGGGTTGGATTTGGGATTTGCCGTTCAGGATTTAGGGTTCGGGGACTGAGGGTGGGAGCTGGAGGGTTTACAGTCTATTGTCTATTATGCGAAAATTCATCCTAACCCCCATCCAGGCCGCCTCAACCACTTCCAGTCATGACCATCCGCCATCATTATCCTCCTCATCATCAACACCATCATTACCGTCGTGATCTTCAACATCAACATCATCGTCCTCCTCCTCTTCATCATCGCCATCATCATCACCATCATCATCACCATGGTCATCGTCACCATCCATCACCATCATATCTCTTCAACATCAACATCATCGTCCTCCTCCTCTTCATCATCGCCATCATCATCACCATCATCATCACCATGGTCATCGTCACCATCCATCACCATCATATCTCCATCGTCATCTTGTTCACCGTCGTCACGTGGAGCACCAGAATGATCGCCGCCACCATCTTCACCTCCTCTGTGATCATCGTTTTGCCATCACCATGGCCAGTATCGTCGAAACCATCTGAACATGTCGTTGGTCGTCGTTTGGTTCTCATTCCCGTCATCATCCGGCTAGGATCGTGATCTTCTTTATCACGGTGATCCTCCTTGGGCCCAGCATCACTCACGCCCTAAGTACCACCATCATCCCCACCAGCACCAGCAACCAGCACCAGATCTAGCACCAGCAGCAGCAGCACCACCACCACCACCGCCACCACCACCACCACCACCACCACCACCACCACCACCACCACCACCACCACCACCACCACCACCACCACCGCCACCACCGCCAGCACGACCACCACCACCACCACCACCACCACCACCACCACCACCACCACCACCACCACCACCACCACCACCACCACCACCACCACCAATAACCGCACCACAATCAGCACCACCGCCATTTCCCATGTCCCATCATCATCATCTTCTTCTTCTTCCTCATCATCATCTCCAGTATCAGTATCATCACCACCTTCATCATAATCGTCGTTGCTACCATCATCTTCAGCAGCATCAACATTTAAGCGAAACGCTTCCGAGGAAGGCAGCAACATTGCGGAGTCGAATGCGGGACGAGTCTACCGCCAGCTCAACCGGGAGACCCGCGACATTCTGTTGTCTCGCTGGTAATGATAAATAATTGAAGCATACGTCGTTGAGAGTATCCTTCCTTCCGTAATCGCGGTTGTTGTAGCTTCACTACTGTTGGGCCAAGTTATTGGTCTCCCCAGACCTTCCAAAATCCTTTAATTAAGGAATATACCTTAAATTATAATAGGATCTCTCTTATTGAATTAAGGTATATTCCTTAATGAAGGGATTTTGGCAGGTTTGGGTCTCACAACCCTGCCTTGCAGTGTGGCGTCCTTTTCCTTCGTTCACGGCCCCGGTGCTGAGGATTCGGGGTTATCGGAGTCCGGAACAGGCTCTGCTGTTGGTGGGTAGGAGAGCTAGTGGCTAAATTCTAGCGACCTCACCCGAGCTCACCCCGAAATGCTTGAAATAGCGAGTGAGCTAGTCGTGTTAATCTCAACAATGTTCTTTCCCTACGTGTCCATGTAACGAACTAATGTATACAGCGGCCCCAATGTACCGATATAGGGACTACTTTAAGGCCAAAGTATATAGTCTTTGTGTTTGAATTCCGATTGCAAACCCACTCACTTATCAGACGTGAACGTTAAATAGCTCCCAATCACGGCCCTCCATCCTCATTGAGGGACATTCTGGTTCCTCTTCACCGTAACTCATAAGCTTCATAAACCATTATGCCCTGCATCCGATTTTCGGCGCGCTGGGTAAGCCCACTACCCAGCCATTCGGTACTCGTACTGTATTTAAATTGAGTTCAGGAGAGTAGTACTTGTAGTTTAGAGCCTGCGGGTATATGATCCTGCATGAGGTACTTGGACCCTAATTATGAGGCACATGGACATGGACCCCCAGGTTTGGCCCGTCTCAAGACTTCTACAGGAGCATTCCAGCCTGCTTCGCGAGAGTGCCAGCAAGCTGACGAAGGGCAACCGCCTTCAGGAGAGGGTGGCGGCTGCGCATTGCACGGTTTTATGCCATACATGCGTGCTGACTTTTTGTTTAGGGTTTTAACGTTTCGATCTTTTTGGTTTTAAAACACAGGGTTTTGGTTTTCGCCTTCGATGGTCGCGCTAAGGATCTGGATTTGCTCTGCTGTCAGGTTATAGGGATGTAAATCTGAAGATTCACTAGTGGTTCGAAGTGCTGCCATAGCGCTGTACATCTTGTAGTACGGGACTATACCCTCGGGGCCCACTTACCTACGTAGTGGACTAGCCTACAATAAACCTCATACAGATCGATTTGACGATACCCATGCCCAAACTTACGGGTAACTGGGCAACTACTTGGAGGATCATGGGACTTAGTAAGTAAGGTTATAAGTACCTTAATTGGGGTTATAAGTAGTTATAAACATAGTTACCTTAATTATAACCCTAGTTACTAAGTCCCTTGATGCTTTTAGTAGGCGTAACCCTGGAAGACGGCGCAAGACCTACACCTACACCAACCTGACGGCTCCATGAGCCTTCAAGTCACATGGGTGGTTGTCAAAATTAGGGCCCTGTTTGGGTCCCGATTATAATACGGCACCTAATATTTAGGGTACCCAAGAAGGGACCCTAATTTGACAACCACCCACATGTAGGTCTCAGGATTAGGATTCCACTGTCAACCTTGCTTTTCGACCAACCCTAAAACCCTAAACCCCGAGCCCTGAATACTAAACCCAAGTGTTCAGGGCTTATCAAAGTCGACAAGCTGCTCGCTCAACCGAGCTTTCGGAGCTGTCTGAGGTAATGAAAAGTAGCTTTCAACAAAACCCTAAACCCTAAACCCTAAACCCCACCCTTTCGCCCTTATACTCTGGGGGCCTTCCGGGTCCCCATATTGTATGTTGAAGCTGAGGATGAGGGTTACTGTGACAGTAAGGGGGTTTAGGGATTGGGGCTTGGGGAGTTCAGTGTTAAGGCTTTCGGGGTTTAGGGTTTAGGGTTTAGGGTTTAGGGTTTAGGGTTTAGGGTTTGGGGTTTGGGGTTTAGGGTTTAGGGTTTAGGGTTTGGGGTTCAGGTGGGTAGGTCTTTGGGGTTTAGTGTTCAGGCGTTTGAGGTTTAGTGTTAAGGTTTTTCGGGTTTACGGATTAGGCTGTTCGGTTGATATAGATGCCCGAGTAATTACAAAGCCCGCCTAAATTACCCTAAACCCTAAAGCCTTACCCGGACCCCAAAAGTATGTAGATTAATAGCCTTTTATAGGTTTTGGGCCATTATGTTACCTACTTTTGGGGGTCAAGGTAGTCCTAAACAGCCCTAAACCCCTAAACCTGTAAACCCTAAACCCCTAAACCCCTAAACCCTAAACCCGTGTGCAGGAGATATCTCAGGGCAAGCTGTCCGAGACGGACACTGCGCTTGGCCGGCAATCACATGGCGTCAGGTTCCCAAAAGTCCTAAGGCTTCAGGGTTTAGGCTTTAGGGCTCTTTTCGGGCCAAGGGCTCTTTACGACTACCTGGACCCCCAAAAGTAGGTAAAATAATGGCCCAAAACCTATAAAAGGCCATTATTCTACATACTTTTGGTGTCCAGGAACCTGCCCAAACCTACTTTTTGAAGGGCCCTACTGTAAATCCTATATACAAGGACTCTTAATAAGAACCTAGAATGAAAAGTTGGTTTTAAGGTAGCTCTAACTCCGTGACCTCTAAACCCTGAACTTCAATACATTACACCCGTAGTGTTTGAAATAGAATCCTCGACCCAAGACAAGTCCCTCAATTACAGAGAGAAACCATGTGACACCCTGATACTACAGATTTATAGTAACCGCTGTAGAACTCGCTTATAGAAACCTTTGGCAATAAAACCCTGACTTGCAGAACCCTTCTATTTGCAGCCCTTAATGGAAACCTTTCCAGGAACCGGTTTCTAAACCAAAAACCCTAAAGCTCCACACCCTAAACCACCTTTTTGTGACAAGGCTTCAGGGCTTCAGCGAAAACGGTGATGCGTCTGCTTCGGGGACTAGGCTTTCTAAGGATTCCTCTGCACTCTTTCACGGGGATCCTACCAGAGGACCCTATGGTACCTTTTAAGGGTTGCTATTAGAGTTTGGGGTTAAAAACCTCAGGGTCCTTGGTTAGTTTGGAGCTTTGGGCTATACTGTTGCTATTCTCATCGTAAGGCTGTATAATATTTATACCTGTCTCTGGTTGTCATGGCCGCATCACGATGAAGCATCAGTGGAGGCCGTCTTCATTCTCAGACTTAGAACGACTTGGAGCCCACATACTGGACTAAGTAGCTCAGCGAGGTCAAAGTTTCGAGGGAGTGCTAAAGCTTGCATAATATGGGGCCTGAACGATTACCAATACTATATTCCTTAGTGCTCACTTGTAAGCTATACAATAAGATGTCCCGAAATCCTAGTCAACTTTGAGGCCGATTTCCTGGCTATTCTTCCCGCAAGCTTACGACCTACTCACGAACTCCTTGGTTAAATGTGGATGCTCTTCTGGGACAACTGAATGAGCCCAGTTTCGGGAACTACTCGAAAAAGAAGCCCACAAAGCCAACACCCCTTATTACCCAGAGGGCCAGAGGGTCCCTTTACACTACCATGATGGAATGAGATCCTAAAAGACCATCCCTATGATGGTTTTGGGGGGCCTGGTTCCATAATGGTAGTGTATATGGACCCTCAACCTTCAACCTTATGGAACCCTTATATAAGGGAAGCTTCAGAGGAGCCCTCCTGGCAGGAACCCTATTTGGGTATGTGTATACCGACCCTCTGTGACATTACACTACCCTTTTCTTGGGGTTCAGGTTCCCTTATAACACCCTTTATACCTAAAAGGGCACTCTTTTTGTTACTAGGCTACTCTTGGGTGTAGATTATAAACCCCTAGAAAGCCCTAAAAGCCTGGAATCGGGTTGATGGCTTATGGCAGTTTAGAGCCTCGGGTTCGGGGTTTCAGGTTTAGGGCTTAGGGTTTCGTTGCTGCTGATGATGTTCAAGTTTTAAGTACAAGATACTTCCAGGGGAGCAATGCTAGCATTACTGTTCTTCCGGTTCCAAGGGCGGCTCAGGGTTAGCCTTCGGGGTTTAGGGATCTGGCAGCCCAGGCAAAGCTGATCTTCTTCGAGCTACTCGCTTGCACTTACAGTAGCTGGTAGGGCAGGTCTGTTCCTACCCTCGTACAGTAGAAGCCAGAAAGTTGGAATATCATTATCGTAACACCTTTAAGGTAAATTATAGGAGATCCTACCATTAATCCATATTCCAACTTTCTGGAGTTCCCTTTAGGTATACTGCAGGCCATTCCACTCATGCTGCTGGTATGCGGTTGTTTGTACGAAGTATGCACATGCACATGGGCAACAAGTCCTCAACCCTAAACCCCAAAACCCTAAAGCCAAAACCCTAAATGCTAAAGCCCTCAAACCCAAACCCTAAACTCCCCGCCACCTTCCCCATCATCATCGTCGGCATGATAACTATGGCTTGACTTCGAAAGGCCAAAACCCTCAAGACTAGGTTCCCCAGTGGCAACCTTTTGCCCTTTTTGCTTAGGGTTTAGGGTTTAGTTCTTTCATGTAACTGAATGCAAGGAGAAACAAGGGATACCAGTATGAGTATTAAGGGCACATTGGGGAACCTAGAAGAAACAACCAAGGCAGAAGGCCGCCGGTGGAACTTGGGGTGGGCCGGGGGGGGGCGGTTAATTAGGGCTTTGGTGGTTTCGGGTTTAGGGGCTAGTTACCACTGCTATTCCCTAGGGTTCCTCATTGCAGCTACACTAGAACGCACCCCCTCCCTCCCGCAAAAAAGAACTATTGAGGCCGCTAGATCATGCAGCTTATTGAGACATTTGTTGTTTTAGCGCGGTAGCTGGTACCCCTCCTGATCCTGGAATTCTTCTGCATGTGTAGATTAGCGGTTCGGCTGGTGACTAAGACCAGAAGGCTTAGGCTATGCAAAGGATCATGGGGCTTAATTAGTAGCTAGTTGCATATAACCCCCATAACGTACTCACAACCATACTTCCTAAGTCTCATGATTCCCCAAGTGGGCCCTACAGCAAACAAACCGCCTCTGCGTTGCGAGTTCACATCGCAGGGCCAAATCGCAACGGTTTAACCATGATTGTCAGCTCTGGTGAGCACAATGATCTCCTGGCCCCAGTGTTTGCAAGAGCAGTGCAATCGAGCTCATCCCTGGACCACCCAGAGTAGGTAAAACAATGGCCCAAAACTTATAAAAATGCTATTTTTCTATATACATACTTTTGGGAACCAGGTCTTTCTTTCCAGGCAAACCTGGCTTTGCAAAATGCGGAAACAGCGAAAGATGCTAAAAGAACTTCCCACGACCCAAGACAGCATCTCAAGCAATCCCAAAATGCGCCCCTACAGACCCTAAACTCCCTAAACAAACCTAGATCCTCAACCCTACTTAAATCCTAAACCAACCCCAAGACATGCCCCCCAAGACAGCATCTCAACCAATCCCTAAATGGCCCTTAGACCCTAAACTCACTAAACCCCAGACCCTAACCTCAATCCTAGACCGTATGCCTTAAATCAAACCCTGAACCAGCCCAGCCTCAACCATGCCCCCAAGAAACCTCTTCTATTTGCTCGACTCGGACTCCAACGGCTTGATCACAGTGGATGTGCCTGGGTGACGAATTCTAGGTATAGTTGGTAGTTTAGGGTTGGGTCCAGGGTTAGCGTTGAGGATTGGGGCTATACCTATAGTCTCCATTGTAGTTCCTTTTTTGGTTTACCAAAATCTCTATTAGAGGATCCTAACCATAAGCTGGTTCACCAAAAAAAGGAACTACAATGCGGCTTGGCACTTCCTTGCATATCCAGTGTGGGGTTTAAAAGAATCAAAGGACACTTGAGGGCTCATAGCGACGTTGCTTTTTGCTCTTTCGCTGTCGCTGCAAGCTCTTCCAATCATTGAGACCAGACGTCCTAAAGCATCGGGTTGTTCACCCGCCAATAGAGTGCGTGAGCTGGCCACTTTCATGTCAACCTAAACCCTAGACCCCTAACCCCGAAACCCTAAGCCTTCATGTTTCATGTCGTCTCCGTGTTCGCCGTCCTGGTGATCGCGGACAAGCCAGGTCCTCAGATCCTGTTTCGGGTTTAGGGTTTTTGGGGCTCGGCCGTTGGGGTTTGGGGGCATAGGTTTCAGGATGTGGGGGTTTTGTGAGTAATTAGGGTAATAGGGTATTTATAGGTCCTTATAGGTTTCAGGATTTGGGGAGTTGGGGTTTACGGCTTAGGGCTTTGGGTTGAAATTATGGATTGGGGTTTAGGACTGGGGCTTTAAAGGGTTTGAATTAGTAGTAGGACCAGGATAGATAAGGGTATAGGTTTCAGGATTTGGGGAGTTGGGGCTTAGAGCTTAGAGCCTAGGGCTTCGGGTTGAAATTATGTTCGGGTTTGGGGCTTAGCGCATTAGGGTATTGGTTCTAGGACTTTGTGTATTAGGATTTAGCTTAGGGTTTAGGGTTATGAGTTTGGATGACGGTTGTGGGTTTCGTCGTTTTGCTATTTTTAGGCTTTGGGGTTTAGGGGTTTGAGGAGCTCTAGATTCTAGATTTTCGGATATATCTCGTCAGTCTAGTCTAGATTAGTCATGATTAGTCTGGTCTAGTCTAGTCTAGAGTAGTGACTAGCGTGTCAGTGTAATTATAATTCTAGTCTAGGCGGCATGACCCTTCGCCGCAAGTACAGGTAACTAGGCTACTAGGCGGCAAGCCCTTCGCCGCGAGTAGATTCACGTAACTAGGCGGCAAGCCCTTCGCCGCGAGTAGGGTAGGAGTAGGGCGGCAAGCCCTTCGCCCGCGCCCCGTAGGAGTTAAGCCTAGTTCCCCTCCCCGAAAAACCCGGACCCGAAACCTCACCCCCCCCACCCCCCCCCCACCTGCCGCTCAGGTGCCACAGATCGTCTTCGTCAACGCCAACGCAGCAGCCTGAGAGTGTTGAGTTTTGGGTTTAGGGGTTTGAATTAGATAATTTGATGAGGGTTTTGGGTTGGTTTTAGTTTTGGGTGGTTTATAGGGTAACCGGGTATAGGTTTTAAGCACCGGATTTTGGGCACTGGTCTAGGTTCTTCAGGTCCTTACGTACGTCGACTGTCTAAGCAAGTAAGAATTAGGGTTGGTTTGGGGTTTGGGGTTTAGGTCTTTTTAGGCTTTGGGTGTTTAGTGCTTTACTAGGGAATTTCTGGACTCAGGCAGGGCTCTCTGGCTTTGGGCATTCTAGGGTTTTGGTTTAGGTTTGGGGATAGGGAGGGCTTTGAGGGGTTTTAGGGTATAGTTGTCAAGATTTTAGGATCGGGTGTCGGGTACTGAGCACTGGGTTTAGGGCCTAAGTTTAAGGAGGATTTTGAGGCGTTTAGGGTGTAGGTTTCAGGATTTTAGGATCGGGTACTGGGTTGAGCCATTTTGTGTCGTGTTTGGGCCTTGGGGCTTCGGGCTTCATAACCCTACATCCTAACTAAACCCTAGAGTTCTCAAGTCTGTACTGGTACTGGGTTTAGGGAGGGTTTTGGTGGTTTTAGGGATTAGGGTATAGGTCTTAGGAATTTTAGGCTTTGGGGTTTAAGATGCTTAGTCTGGTACTTCCAAACCCTAGTCAAATTATTTGTAACACTAGGCGGCATGGCCCTTCGCCGCGGAGTAGGAGTAGGTACTAGGCGGCATGGCCCTTCGCCGCGGAGTGGGAGTAGGTACTAGGCGGCATGACCCTTCGCTGCGGAGTAGGAGTAGGTAGGTAGTTAGTAGGCGACCCCACCCGACCAATGACCCATTAAGCCCAAAACCTGTAAACCCGAAATGCCACGACCGCCCCAGTCCCAGTGTCATTGTGCCGGTTGAGGTGTGGACCTGTGGTCTGGCCTCGGTGCAGGCGGTGGCCACAGCAGGGATTTGGGGTTGAGGTTAAACGATTGGGGATTGTTGTGGCCTGGATGCGGTGGTCACCGTCTGCATCATTGCATGACCACGAGTACAGCTCTGGGCCAGGCCCGTGCCCGCTGGCTCCTGGGTGCCAGGAGCCTGACAGTGTCAGTGTCAGAGAGCATCTGTGAAGTGAGTTCATGATCCCGGGCCCGGAGCATCCTTCAGCCAACCCTTATTTAAGATCCGGCCCTATGCCGGAGCCCATCGCCAAGTCGCCGAGGCGGGTACCTCTTCAGCAGACTCTCGTCAGAGTCATGGCCATCGACATCAGAGTCGGCAGCTCGGTGCCGATGGGAGTGTCGGCATATGTCGGCATCATGTCACTGAAAGCTGTTGGCCTCATTGGCCCTAAATATCCATCGGTAGCCGTGTCGTGTTACATGCGCTTGCCCATGGGTTGCAGTCACTCTGCAGCTTCTCTCTCGAACTTCAGCTTCAGGTCACTTCGTCGTGGAGAACTACGGCATCGAGCGGAGGCCTCCTGACATTCACTTTGGTTGCTCTGATGCTGAGTGGTGATGACTGCCGAGGCCGGTACCTCTGCCTCTTCAACAGACTCTCGTTGGTCGTGGTCATCGTCATCAGAGTCGGCAGCTCGGTGCCGGTGCACTGCCCCTTCTTCGGAGTGTCGGCATGTCATTGAAAGTTGTTGCTGACGTGCAGTGCAGCCCAGCTCATGCATGTGCATGCTGCATGCGACAGAACAGTCAGCAGACATGTGACATGCAGGCTTAGGGCCAGGGCTTAGGGCTCCATATCCGCCAGGTCCAGGCCCAGTCAAGGCTTCAGGGCAGCGGGCACACAAGCATTAAAAGCACTTGTGCAGCAGCAAAGACTAGGGAGGTTGGGCTTTGCGGCTATCGCCCAGGATGGCTGGTGGGGCCCTGGCTGGGGGGGCCCTTGCTGGGGGGGCCCGGCCTGGTATGGTCCCTACCCGCCAGCTGGCGGCGGGAAGGGCGCTGGCGGCGGGAAGGGCGCTGGCGGCACTGGCGGCGGAAAGGGCGATAACAGGACCGGCCCCAGGGAATAATTTAAAATGGGGGGGGGTTTCTAGGACCCAGAGTAGGCCCTTATTCCCTTTTAAGGGTTTAGGTTCCCTTAGGGGCACCCTTTTTCTTCCTAGGTGACTCTTGGGTCTAGGTTTGGATTTAGAGCTGCAGGTCGACGACAAGCACCCTGAGAGGGCAGATGATCAGCAGACTGGAAGGCGAAGTGCAGCGCCTTGAAGGAGACCTGACGCAAGCCAGGGTGGGTGTTGCCAAAGCCCCAGGTAAGCCCCATCCCATGCATTAATAACCAGTAGCAGTAGTAGGGGATCATGCGGGCCACCTCCATAGAGTAAACCCCATAAAGTTGGAAACCGGATTAAGGCCAAATAGTGCTGGGCTTCCCTATACATTACTCTTCAGGATTGAGGCTGTTGGGTTTCCAACTTTTCGGCTTCTATCCACCCACAGATCGACCTGACCGTCGCGGAGTCGGAGAGAGATGACCTGAGAGACTCCGCTTCCAGACTCCAGCGGCAGCTTGACGAGCAGCGGACCGCCCACACTACCGAGATCCTTGACGTCCAGAAGGTGGGCCACCCTAAACCTTAAACTTTCCTTGCCAGGGAGGGATAAAAACTCTCAACCTCAAACGGCCCTCAACCCCAGGCTGCTGCCGATGAGTTGCTGGATGCCAAGGCAAAGGCTGGGGCGGAGATCGAGCGGCTCGGCAAGCAGATCTCCGACATGGCGTCGAAGCACCGCTCCGACATCCACTCCGTGGAAGGCCGGCTGCAGACGTCTCAGCGCCTCTTCAAGGACCAGCGGGGTCTTCGGGGTTTCGGGGTTTGGGGTTGGGTCGGGTTTCTATTATTGATATTACTACTACGACGACTCGACGACGACTACTAAGACTACTACTTCTTCTTCTAGTGGTACCCTCCGCTTCTGAGCTCCCCCTCAGGAGTCACAAACGGAGCTGCAGAAGGTCAGGGGCGAGCGCGATGACGAGTATAAGATTCGTCAGGATCTGAGGCGCAAGATCGAGTCGTTCCTTGCCTCGGCAGGTATTTGTTTTTGGGTTGTATGAAAAAATAAATAAACCCAAAATATAAATCCTAAAGGTTAACTTGTAGTGTACTCATGACTGACTAACTATTTGGTTTGGGACTTGGCTAGGAGCTTAGGACCTTTACTTTTGATTGGGGTTTCGCTGCATTAAAGCTTCAAAGGCTGGAGAACAGAGAGAAGTCCCTGACGAACCAGCTGAAGGAGCAGACGGAGTTCTCAGAGAAGAAAACTCTGGAAGTCAACAACTTGAAGGCCGAGCTCCAGCTGATTGCCAAGGGCCAGGGTAAGGGCAAAGGGAAGAAGTAGTAGAAGAGTAGTCAAGGCTTGGTTCAGTCAGTAGCCTAGCCAATGAGGACTTAGCATGATAGGCCTGGCTGTTGTTCTTCCCGGAGCCCTAAAATCCTGTAGTGCTGAGCTGCTGAGTGCTGCTATGCCAGGGACCACAGCAGACACAGCACACACAACAAACACAACACACACACACACACACACACAACACACACAACACACACAGCAGCACACAGCAGCGTACAGCAACGCACACACACACAGCAGCACGCAGCAGCACACATAGCAGCACATGGCACGTAGCCAGCAGCTCTCGGCGCACACGTGTCACACGACGGTCACAGGACGCACGACGATCCCTTCCCCCCGTCCCCCAAACGGATTCCCGCTTAAAACTTAGGTTTAATTCCGTAGTCTAATATCCTAGGCTTTGGCCGGGTGTCAGCGGGAATCTGTTAGGGGGCGGGGGGGGGGGGACCCGAGGGAGTGGCTTTCTTTTGCGAGTGAAAAGCGGCTTAGCAGTCCGACCGTGCCGTGCAAGAGCCGGAGCCATCGCTTTTGACAATTGCATGCATCTCTTTCCGACCCGAGGTCACCTCAGAGGCTTGGCTGCTGTCTCCCGGGACGGGGCCTTGGGAAATCAGTGCCAGTGTGAGTCAGTTTGGTAGGTTCATCATTGAAGCTGCTGACACTGGCAGGCGACTTCGTTTTCGTGGTCATCAGCGGCAGCGTCCGAGAGGTGCCATCCGCCCCTCTCTTCTTCTCACATGTTGCGCCCTTGTGCTGAGCTGCGTTGCCTGGTCTTGAGCATTGAGCATTCTTCAGCACTTGAGCACACGAAGCTTCCCTGTGCTGATACAGCTACTCCTCAGCTATAACGACGGCGGGGGCGGGGGCGGGAGGAGAGCGAGGGGCAGGAGCAGGATGTCGACTCTTTTGGGGGCTCGGCCGTTGGGGTTTGGGGGCATAGGTTTCAGGATGTGGGGGTTTTGGCTAATTAGGGTAATAGGGTAATTATAGGTTTCGGGATTTGGGGAGTTGGGGTTTTAAACTTAGGGCTTTGGGTTGAAATCATGGATTGGGGTTTGGGGCTGGGGCTTTAGGGTATTGGTTCTGTTCTAGGATTTAGGGTTAGGGTTATGAGTTTAGGGTTATGAGTTTGAATTGGTAGGCTTAGATAATTAGGGTATAGGTTTCAGGATTTGGGGAGTTGGGGTTTACAGCTTAGAGCCTAGGGCTTCGGGTTTAAATTATGGTCGGGTTTGGGGCTTAGCGCATTAGGGTATAGGTTTAAAGATTTTAAGTTTAACCCTAAGGGTTATGAGTTTGGATCACGGTTGTGGGTTTTGGCGTTTTAGGCTTTGGGCTTTTAAAGCCGCAGAGCCCGGCTTTAAGGGTTTGAGGAGCTCTAGATTTTGGGATATATCTCGCCAGTCTAGTCTAGATTAGTCATGATTAGTCTAGTCCAGTGTAGTCTAGTCTAGAGTAGTGACTAGCGTGTCAGTGTCAGTGTAAATCTAGTCTAGGCGGCAGGACCCTTCGCCGCGAGTAGATTCGCGTAACTAGGCGGCAAGCCCTTCGCCGCGAGTAGATTCACGTAACTAGGCGGCAAGCCCTTCGCCGCGAGTAGGGTAGGAGTAGGGCGGCAAGCCCTAAGCCTAGGGGGGTCGGGGGACTTAGTAAGCAGTTAGTAAGTAGACTTATATGTACCCTAAAAGGGACCCTAATTGGGGTTATGGTAGTTCCCCTCCCCGAAAAACCCGGACCCGAAACCTCACCCCCCCCCACCCCCCCCCCACCTGCCGCTCAGGTGCCACAGATCGTCTTCGTCAACGCAGCAGCCTGAGAGTGTTGAGTTTTGGGTTTAGGGGTTTGAATTAGATAATTTGATGAGGGTTTTGGGTTGGTTTTAGTTTTGGGTGGTTTATAGGGTATAGGTTTTAAGCACAGGATTTTGGGCACTAGGTCTAGGTTCTTCAGGTCCTTACGTACGTTGACTGTCTAAGCAAGTAAGAATTAGGGTTGGTTTGGGGTTTGGGGTTTAGGTCTTTTTAGGCTTTGGGTGTTTAATGTTTTACTAGGGACTTTCTGGACTTAGGCAGGGCTCTCTGGCTTTGGGCATTCTAGGGTTTTGGTTTAGGTTTGGGGATAGGGAGGGCTTTGAGGGGTTTTAGGGTATAGTTGTCAAGATTTTAGGATCGGGTGTCGGGTACTGAGCACTGGGTTTAGGGCCTAAGTTTAAGGAGGATTTTGAGGCGTTTAGGGTGTAGGTTTCAGGATTTTAGGATCGGGTACTGGGTTGAGCCATTTTGTGTCGTGTTTGGGCCTTGGGGCTTCGGGCTTCATAACCCTACATCCTAACTAAACCCTAGAGTTCTCAAGTCTGTACTGGTACTGGGTTTAGGGAGGGTTTTGGTGGTTTTAGGGATTAGGGTATAGGTCTTAGGAATTTTAGGCTTTGGGGTTTAAGATGCTTAGTCTGGTACTTCCAAACCCTAGTCAAATTATTTGTAACACTAGGCGGCATGGCCCTTCGCCGCGGAGTAGGAGTAGGTACTAGGCGGCATGGCCCTTCGCCGCGGAGTAGGAGTAGGTACTAGGCGGCATGACCCTCGCGAACCCTACCGAAAACGCTAGTTCCCACGACGTGTGCGCCAGTGTGTACATATGACATATGAAAGAGAGGTTTAGGTTGGTGGTTTAGGTTTTAGGGGTTGGGGTGAAAAAAAGGCTGGAGTCTAGGGTGTAGGGTTTGGGGTTTAAGACTTAAGCCCTAAAGGCAGAGAATGTTACGTGACATCGCTGCTTAAGCACCAGCACCAAGCTCGGGAAGTCAGGCATCAATACAACGATCCCTGACCTTCAAACAGCCTGCTTAGGCCAAAGGCATCAAGTTAATGAAAATATACGGGGGACATCCCCTACCCTAAATCCCGACCCCCGAAACCAAATTTCTTTCGAGCATTCGTTCTGATCACCAAAAGGCAAAAGCAAGCACACATTCAAATTGCCAAACAGGCCTCCTGAAATTATCAATGACATTCCTTCAAAGTCTTTCAAATTCCTTGTGTTTTCTTTCAAATTTCTTTCGAGCATTCATTGTAATCACCAAAAGGCAGAAGCAAGCACACATTCAAATTGTCAAACAGGCCTGATATTATCAATGACATTCCTTCAAATTCTTTCAAATTCCATGTGGTTTCTTTCAAATTTCTTTCGAGCATTCATTCTGTTCTGATCACCAAAAGGCAAAAGCAAGCACACATTCAAATTGCCAAACAGGCCTCCTGAAATTATCAATGACATTCCTTCAAATTCTTTCAATTTCCTTGTGTTTTCTTTCAAATTTCGTTCGAGCATTCATTGTAATCACCAAAAGGCAGAAGCAAGCACACATTCAAATTGTCAAACAGGCCTGAAATTATCAATGACATTCCTTCAAATTCTTTCAAATTCCTTGTGTTTTCTTTGAAATCTCTTTAGAGCATTCATTGTGATCACCAAAAGGCAGAAGCAAGCACACATTCAAATTGTCAAACAAGCCTGAAATTATCAATGGCATTCCCTCAAATTCTTTCAAATTCCCTGCGTTTTCTTTGAAGTTTCTTTCGAGCATTCATTCGGATCACCAAAAGGCAAGCCCCGGGCCGAAGACATATAAATGGCTTCTGGCTTCTGGCTTGTTTTGAAAGTGATCTAATAATCCCTTCCCCCTAATATTAAAGGGTCGGGGCCCCCCCCCCTTCGCCCTAAATAAAAACTCGAAAATGTTTTTATAATTAGGGGGGTGTTGTTATCTCAATTCCTAGAAACACAGGTTCTACAAGTAATTAAATGATGAAAATGATGACGATGAAAATGATGATGACGATTACGGTGATGCTTGTTATGATGAAGATGGCGGTAGTGGTGGTGATGGTAATGATGACGATGATCATGGTCCAGGAGAAGAACATGATGATGATGAAGAACATGATGATGATGTTGTTGTTGATGATAGCAATGCTTCATGGTTGCACAAGTGCAGAAGAGCACATGTGGTGAATGCCAGAAGCTTGGAAATAACATGATAATTAAATATGATAGGAACTGATTAATTAATGATGTTCCAAGATTCTGGCATTCGCTGCAAGTGCTTTGCTTCTGAAAGCTGTCAACAATCTGCCCGCTCCGCCACAGACAGGCAGCCTCAAGAAGAGGCCTTTGTGCCTCGCTTCAACAGGCTGTCGACACACACACACACACACACACACACACACACACACACTCACACTCACACTCACACTCAGACAGACCCAACCTCTCTGCAACCTGCTGGTTCAACCTCTGCAACCTGCCCCACGAAAGCCGGATGTGCACCCAGTCCCCTCTAGAGAGTCCCCAGAGAGCCCAAAGCTTCAGGCCACCCCAAAATCTCGATTCCGGGTGGGGAAAGGGCCCAAATGACGACCTTAGGGATTGAGCCCACGACGTTTGCCAAGAAGGCTTTGGAGCCGGACACTTACCCATTAGGCCATGGCCACATAGTTTTTGGCAAGGTTGCGCACCTTTGTAGTAGTTTTGGGACAGGTCGCAGGCCCAATTCTTGCGGTGTCATTTTGGGCCCTTTCCCCATCCAGAATCGAAATGTTGAAATGACCAAAAGCGCCAAGAGAGCACAACCACACCCGCCCAAAACCGCGCAAACCCACCAAACCTCTGCAACCTGCTGGTTCAACCTCTGCAACCTGCTGCTTCAACCTCTGCAACCTGCTGGTTCAACCTCTGCAACCTGCTGGTTCAACCTGCGCAACCTGCTGGTTCAACCTGTGCAACCTGCTGGTTCAACCTCTGCAACCTGCTGCTTCAACCTCTGCAACCTGCAGGTTCAACCTGCTGGTTCAACCTCTGCAAATTGCTGGTTCAACCTCTGCAACCTGCTGGTTAAACCTCTGCAACTTGCTGTGGATCAACCTCTGCAACCTGCTGGTTCAACCTGTGCAACCTGCTGCTTCAACCTCTGCCTCTGCAACCTGCTG